TGTCATGCAAACAAGTGTCCGTACTGCCCCTCACTCAGACCTGCCTGAAAATACTAACCGTGCGTACCTGCTGCGCGGGTTTGCTTTCTCTCTGCTGCACTGCTCTTCACCAAAGTCCTGGGAGGCCCCGGTCCCTCCCCGGGAGGGAGGCCTACACAAGCCCCACACGGGACTCTTGTCTACATCCAAACTCAAATAATCACAAGAAATCACTTTTAAAAGCCGTGAGTCAGAACATGCTCCAGAATGCTGTTTGAGGTGTTTTTCTTCTTTTTTTGCCAGAGCGCATTTCCCCGATTTATTTCTGAAAACCTCTCGCCCACCGCTCACCCCATTTTCCACCACGGTGCGTGGAACCTTGGAGGCCAGCTTGGTGGTGGTGTGGCGTGCGTCCTAGTCCAGGGCTTGGCGGCTCCCCCGCTTGACTCAAGGACAGAGCTTCCAGTGATAGGTTTCGTTTTTCTTTCTTTCTCTAAAATACAGAGCAAATTGGAGGTGGGCCTTTGCTGACCACACCTGTGCTCATCTGCATTCTGGTTGTTCTTTTAAATGGAAGAGAAAGGGCGGAAGCAGCCCTGGTGCCCAGGGATTTACAGTAACTGAAAGGACTGTGTCCGCGACGCGGATGTCATTTGTCACCAGTGACAGAGTGAAAAGAAGAAGGTGGGCGTGGCTGGGCTGTGTGATGTGCCTTGTGGAGCAGCTTCAGTCTTTCTGCTGAAGCTTTTTCTTTTAATCAGGTAGCTCTCGATCGATGCTTCTGTGCACGGGTCTCTTTACACAGGAGTGTCTAAGCTCAGAACAGTACAGCGCATAATTATACAACCAGTTCAGCGTGTGTCAGTGAGTTTCCACTGTTCTAGACGCATTACCTCCAGGAGCAGAGTCAGAATTAGCGTTTGTTGCTCTGTGATTGTATTCCTCGGTAGCACGTGGTTCTGGCCACATTTGTTCCTCATGTTACCCCTGCACCCCCTCTGTCCAGAGGGTGTCTCATATCATAGTGATTGGCAGTGTGGAGAGATCAGAAAATTAATTGTTTGTTCTTTGCCTCTAGTAGGATTAACATAGATAATAAATACAGTTTTGTTGGAATCCGTAGTTAATGAAGTTGAGGGGTGATGATCCAGAAGTTTTTTTTTTTCTCTCTAGTTGGCTGAACAAGGCTGGTTTTTACGGGGAGGAGTGATTTTAAGCTTCCCTGTGGCTCAGATGGTAAAGAATCCGCCTGCAATGCGGGAGACCTGGGTTCGATCCCTGGGTCAGGAAGATCCCCTGGAGAAGGGAAAGGCTTCCCACTCCAGTATTCTTGCTGGGAAAGTCCCCACGAACAGAGAAGCCTGGCGGGCTGCAGTCCATGGGATCACACAGAGTCAAACATGACTGAGCGACTAACGCTTTCACTTTCAGAAGTAAATAAATACATGGCAGCCGCGGACTCAGGTCCTGCTTCTGGCCCCTTCTCCCTGGGATGCAGGTTGCGGGATGCGGGATGTGGGACACGGGATGCGGGTTGCAGGAAGGAGCGACAGGACCAAGAGTGGTTCTGGATGCTCACCCGACTGCAGAGAGGCTGCTTGCCCAGCGCACCTGAACCCTGTATCCCAGGCACATCCCCTGAGCGGTCCCCGCACCTTCCTCCTGCCGGTCCCCTCCTGAGGATCCTGGGTCAGGATTCCTGCCAGAGCACATGCAGGAGGATCGCCCTGAGTCAGGGGTGAACCTCGGGGGTTTCAGCAGCAGGTGACATGGGCGGCCTGGACTGACGTTCCGGGGGGCCATGCAGAGGCTCCCTGCCCTGACTGGAGGTGTTCCGGGGGCTGCTGTTGTCTGGCCCAGCGGGAGACAGCTAGCGCCCACGTGGTGCCGCTGTGTCGGTCCAGGACACATCCACACGCTTGGATGCATCTGCGTTTGAAGCCCATCTCTGAGCTGATGCCTGCCCTCTCTCTGGCCTCAGCCTGCCCACATCCTCCCCACGCGCTGTGAGCTCACCCCGCTCGCTGTGATGGCACGTGTGTGGTGTGTGCGCGCATCCTCGTGGCTCCCCTGGCCGCGTGCAGGACCACGCCCCTGCCCCTGCCTTTCCTTGGAAGCCTGGGGCTGCCCAGTCGTCGGCTCAGCGTCTTGGGGAGCCTTGTTCCTCGCTCTCCCTACTTGGGGCCATGTCCCTGGGTTGCTGACGGCCCACGCTTGTGCCCTTCGAAGAGCGCCTTCTCCCTTCGCTGGGGGCCACAGCTGAGCACCCTTCGGAATGCAGGTGTCTGGAGAGGGCAGTGCAGTTGTGAAAGAGGTACTCGCTTCCCTGCCAGGAAAAGAGCTGTCCTGTGACTCCCATTCCGGCGGGGACCGCCTTCCTCATCCGCCCGCGGGCCTCCCGGAGGCGCCGCTCAAGAGCAGAATTGGGAAGAAGGCTGAAAGGTCATCGGGAATAAATACACAGTTCACTCTGGCCCCCGAGCGCTCTGCTCTCAGAAGGCTGACGCTTAGAAACTGAAGTTCTGACAGCTCTCTGGTTTGTGCTTCAAGGAAGTGACCCGTTCAGCTTGATTAGGGCTGATGGCGCTCTAATGGCAGGAGTTGGTTCATAGCCGTAAAACACCCTTAAAAACAGCAGAAGTGTCCATGGCCCTGTGAATCTGCAGATGGTAAGAGAGTAAGGTTTTCAGCAAGTGTTAACCCTCAGTGAATGTGTGTTTTAGAGTTTGAGGGGTTAGAGAACTTACTTGCTTAGCTGTTTTCAAGGTAATGGGGTTGAGTGTTAACACGAGACGACTTAGCCACATTTAGCTAATCATTGGTATAAAAATAAACTGAACGGAACTCTTTCTGGAAGTGTGACGCGCGGGGTCATGACTGCCTATGCGGTGGCCACAGGACTCTTCCCATGGTCGGGGCCAGAGTGGCGAAGTGCAGGCTCATTTATGGGGAGACTCGGCTCAGGTGGTGGTTCTGCTCGTTACTCAGTCGTGTTCGATTCTTCGCGAGTCCTGGGCTGCAGCACGCCACGCTCCCCTGTCCCTCACCATCTTCTGGAGTTTGCCCAGGTTCATGTTCATTGAGTTGGTGATGCCATCCAGCCGTCTCATTCTCTGCTGCCCCCTTCTCTTGCCCTCAATATTTCCCAGCACCAGGGCCTTTTCTAGCGTGTCAGCTCTTCACATCAGGTGGCCAAAGACTGGAGCTTCAGCATCAGTCCGTCCAATGAATATTCAGGGTTGATTTCCATTAGGATGGACTGGTTTGATCTCCCTGCAGTCCAAGGGACTCTCGAGAGTCTTCTCCAGCACCACAGTTCGTAAGCATCAATTCTTCAGTAGTTCAGGTAGATTTTGACAATTGCCTGTGTAATTAAGGGATGCAAACCTTCAAGTTCTCAGTTGAGAACTTGAAATAGATGGAGCCACGCCTTTCCTTTGGAGGAACTCTGGGGCCCTGTTCTCCATTACATTTCATGTTCCGAGTAGTTTACCTATTAGGTTTCTTAAAAGACATAAGCCTTTTTTAATATAATAAGATAAAGTGGCATTGTCTCAAAATACCACATTGTTGGGAACTTTAAGTATGAAAAGTCACAGTGTTTACGTTGTGGGTAGACAGCAGCGTCTATGCTGGCTCTGGTTTGGGCATCGCCTGGCTACGGAGCAGGTGCCCACTCTCGGCCGTGGGACACCCTGGACATTTCCGTCTCGCTGGGATTAGCCCTCAGAGCTCAAGATGAACAAAAAACAATAGATGTACGAAGAAGTAAATCCGGGAGTGTGGTGAGAACCCATCATTAAAATTCTAAGTGATTTTAGAGTAATATGCAGAGATTCTGGTTAAGTAACTTACAGCCTCGCGGGACAACACTGTTCTGTTTATGATGGTGCGTGACCCGCCGGGTGCTCCTGTGACCCGGGGAGCGGTACTCAGCCTGGTGTTTTTGTTTAAGAGCCGGAAAGAGGCGGTGTGCTGCGACATGTCAGTCTTCCGGGTTGCTGTGTGCCCTGGAGAAGGAGCCAGCAGAAGTGAGCCGAGGGAATTTGGAAAAAGTTGAGGAAGTTTAGTCTCTCAGCCCAGAAGGGCGGACGCAGTCAGCGGAGCTGGTGGGCATCCTGCCAGGTCTCCGTCAGGGGGTCATCGGCAGAGGGAGGGAGTGTGTAACGGGAGAGTTTGAAATCTAGGGTCATTTTGGGAACAGGGAATATTCATTGGAAGGACTGATGCTGAAGCTGAAACTCCAATCGTTTGGCCACATGATGCGAAGAGCTGACTCACTGGAAAATACCCTGATGCTGGGAGGGATTGAGGGCAGGAGGAGAAGGGGACGACAGAGGATGAGATGGCTGGATGGCATCACCGACTCAGTGGACATGAGTTTGAGTAAGCTCCGGGAGTTGGTGATGGAGAGGGAGGCCTGGTGTGCTGCGGTCCATGGGGTCACAAAGGGTCGGACACGACTGAGCGACTGAACTGGACGAGGAAGAGGCAGAGGATCCATGAGCAGGGCTTCCTTGGGGGCAGACGTGTGGACTTGTTAGTTCTCCCCTGGTCTTACTGTGACACATTCGTGCCATGTGTGTGGTTGACAGTACGCTGTGCCACGTGGCGAGGTTTTCATTGTCTCCACAGCCCCGTGAGGAAGGCAGTGGGTCTGGCCCCCTCTGTCGCCAGGAAGGTCTGGGCCCCAGCAGTGAGGGGGCCCTGGCCAGGTCACACGGCCTCTCTCCCCGCCATGGGGAGAATCCTGGCTGGTTTTCTTGCATTGAAAATAGGACCCTCACTTGATGGATCTCACCAGCACACTGTGAATCCATCAGCCCAGCTTCCAGGGAGACTGAGTGGGAGTTTTACCCATCAAGCTTGTCTCTAGGAAAACAGAGTGAGTAAAAGTTTGCTTCCCAAAGTGGATTGCTTCCCGAAAAGTGACCAAAGACGGGGAAGAGGGGACCTCGCCTCCCCACCCAGGGTGACGGTGCGCACAGTAAGCCCACTGATGCGTCTGCTTCCTCTTGCAGAGTGAAGACCTGTCCGGCTTCACCCCCGTGACGACATGCATCACAGAAAACCATGGGAAGAAGATGCTCAGCATTTTTTTTTTAAAACACACCGGAAGAAGCTGCTTGCCACTTCCTTTTGGATCTGAGCGACTGCCGCGTGTGGACGCACCTGTGACCACATAGTCAGACGCAGATGCGCCCGTCTCCCCCAGCCTCCGGGGCGGGGGGGGGGGGGGGGGGGTGCAGTCCTCTTCCTCGCGCGGTTTGTGTGTTGGTTTTCGACAACATGAGCGGAAGGAGTGACTCACGAGAAGGTCGGACAGTCTTGGTCGTGGCCAGTGTCTTTCTCCCCGCCCTCGTTTTGACGCAGCAGATGTATCCCGCAGCATGCTAGGAGATTCTCCCAGCTCGCGTTCAAGTGGTAAAATCTGGTGTTTACGGACATCCGCTCAAAACTACCACCGTCCTACCTCAGTTCCAGGTGAAGCCGGGTCGGCGTGGTGGGGGGGGTCCCCCTCTGCTGGCTGAGTCTCCAGCGCGGTCATCTGCCTTATCCCCCAGCCCCGGACACAGCTGCTCATCCAAGTCCAGCCCAGGGACCTATGTGTTTACTCCCGCACAGAGCCCCCGCGTAGGACTGACATCTCTCCACGGAGATGCAACTCGAGATTGGACTCTGAAGATGGATGGATAAATAATAATTATTATATGTAACGAAAGCAAGCTACTTTTGCAAATCATCAACTGTACGGGGTGGGGGAGGGTGGGAGGGGCGGGGTCTCGGAAGGCCCGGGTTGGGGGTGGGCTGAGTATCTCTTTACCTTTAAGAGACTTGTTCAGGCTTCTCTGTAGATGTTTATGTGGGCACTTCGGATCGCAGACGCCTCTGATCCTGTTGACAAGCTCAAATGTCTCTGCTGTCCTTAACCTTGAGCTTGCAGTTCTCTAACCAAAAATTCACGTAGGCATGCGAGCTGTTCCAAGACAGGGGTCAAGGGTTGGGCAGGTCTCTTCTAAAATGTATTATCTTGACGACGACGCGCTCGTGTCGGGCCACGAGGCTGCCCCAAACAGCGACAACAAAGACACAGAGAGACAGGAAAACAAAGGAAAAGGACCTGATAAAGAAGGCATCCTGGGACACAGGAGAAGCAAACCAATCTCACAGTGCACGTCACTTGTCAGAGAAACTCCCGACGAGCGGACCCCTCTTCGTATGTTCTCAGTGTTCTGGAAATATCAGTGTTGTGGCGATCACCGAGGGTGTCCCTAGAAGCCGCCGCCCTTGACCTGCAGAGTGTCAGCTCAACTCTGCGCTCCCTTGACACGCGGGCGAGGGGGGCTGTAGGCGCCCCCATTCCCACGGGCCCATCCTCAGTGCCTCTCTGAGAGTCCTATAGACGTTACGCAAATTCCTTGGAGATACGAGTTGGGTTTTTTTTTGGGGGGGGTGGGGTGGTAGGGGGAGAAAAAAATATATATAAATATATAGATATATATCAGTATAGAATAATGCATTCATAAAATGAGGCTTTTCTAGAGGAAGACCAAAAAGATTCGATGTCTTAAACCTATATTTAATCGCAATGCAAGCGTCTTTCTCCTTCCACGCTGACCTTTCAGAACAGAGGATTGTATCGAAAGACAAAGTTGAATGTAAAGTGACCTCCCTGAGAGCTTCTCAGGTTTCGCTTCTGGAATCACGCAGCACAGCCGTGCACAGACCACCTGAGGTTGGTTTGAAGGTCATGTTTAGCGTGTAGTGTAGAGAGACTTTATGAAAAAGATGTATGAAGTGTCCTAAAGGTTTGGTCTAGCTCTGGGGCGCGGGATGGATGGAGTTGCCATGGAAACCGCCCCTCCCGCAGGACTGGACATGGACCCTGCTGGATGCAGCGTTAGACTCCCCTTCCCTCACGTGGGCCTGCCACCCTTCCCGTGGTCATGTTCCTCCTGCCGCTTCAAACGACGACATAAAAAAGTTGACAGTATACTAAATTTTCTTCTATCTTGTACATTTCAAAAAAAAAAAAAGGCATATGCAATATTTACATTTTTAATTTAGTTTACAGAATGGAACCAAAATGTATAAATGTTATGTTTGTTAAAACTTCACAATGTATATTGGGTCTTTGTACATTTTGCCTGACTTACCTTAAAGTTAAAATATTTTTTGCTATATAAACTTTAACAGTTATTAAACAGTGTTTTCTTTTGGGGGGATACGTATTGTTTCTGGAGATCAAGATGTTAAATATATCTCTTGCTGTCGTGATATGACGAAAGACTGACTTCTCCTGCTGTCTTCCACTGTCTCCGCTGTACAGAAGGACCGACATGGCACTGCTGGGAACCAGACTCCACGGAACTAGACTAGTGCATTGTATTTAGTCTGTATTGATCATGGATGCTCTCCTTAATAGCCATATGCAATACAATAAAATACATTATTTATGAAATGAAGACCGCCTGCACGATGCTTTTTCCTGTGTGGATAATGAATTTGACATCAAGCCATTCTTCTGGTGTTCCTAGTCATTAAGTAAATATTTGGCTCTTTAAAAATGTTTTGTTACATCTTCATTTAATAGTTGTATTCTGGAAACCAGAAAACAACCCCCCACCCCGCCCACGCCACAAGGTGTATGAAAAGGCGAGGTACTAAGAAAACAAAAAAAAAACACTCACTTTACCAAGCGTAGAATCATTGCAGGCATACTGGATGCTGTTTTGTCATTTTGTTTATTTATTGCCTTGATTTTTTTTGTTATTTTATTTATTTTCTTGGCCTTGCAGCATAAGGAATCTTAGTTTCCCCATCAGGGATCGAACCCCGGCTTCCTGCAGTGGAAGCTCAGAGTCCCAACCCCTGGACCACCAGGGGAATCCCGGATGCTGTTTTAAATGCTGTGCAAATATTAATTCCCTCATGGTTCCTAATAAACTTCGATGGTGGGAATCACTGTCCCGTTTTACAGATGAGCAGACTGAGGCACAAAACGGATAAAGGACTTCCTGGGGTGGTGGCAGAGCTCAGGAGGGGTGGAACCAGGACTCGAGTGCGGAAGCACACCCCCTGAGTCCGTGCCCGAGTGCCTGCTGCGGCCTGACTCCTGAGACGCAGGTGCCAGACAGACAGCATCCAGGGCGTGGGGTGGTCACAGCACCAGAGCCAGGAGGTACAGAAAATAGGAAATCGACCTCTAGTGATTTTTATCAAGGACAACTTGACCTCCTTGTTAGAAACCACTTTTTTATACATCCACTTTACTGGCATTGTATCAATTGAAATGCAGTAACATCAGTGCCATCTCTTTTGAACGAATAAAATCAGAGCAGTGTGGAAGGTGATTTTTGAATGCTGGCTTTTAAATCTCAAGCCTGGTAAGCCCTGTGTGGCATCTGGGAGCTTGGTGATGACCTGCGGCCTGTTGGTGCCCAGACTGGTTGTTCTTGGGGTTCCCGTTAGACACCTAGGAGGAGGCATGATCTACAGGTTTTGATGCCCCTGAAATCTGTTAGGTTAGTGATGGGAGGGCTGTCATTCTAGGGGAGGGGAGACATATAAGGCAAGAATCAGTGTCTTTACCCGGAAATGTCGACTGTAAGTAAAGGAGTGAGGGGCTTTTATCAAAGTCCCGTGGAAGCTGGAAGTAATCACCAGAAACCAATTTCTGAACTTGGAGGAGAAGGCTAGATGAACAGGGCATCCCCAGATGTAGGCTAAAGACCCCCCACGTTGACTGGAGAGAGCTTGATTCTGAGCCATTCGTGGGCAGCGTGGATGATGCGGATGGGCACCCTCAAGGATGACCGCACCTGTGAGCTCACCGGCAGGATCATAGCTGGTCCGTCTCAAAGCCCCGAGTCCCATGTTAAAGGTCACTTGGCAAGTTTTCAGGCTGCTCGGGCAGGCCCGTCACTGCTGTGTATGTCTAACCCTGAGCTATGCCAGTGTCTGACTTCCTCATCCATTCCACCCTTCAGGGCCACCAGTTGAAAGACAAAGGGGGTCACAGCCTGTTTAGACCTCGAGGGCGCTGGGTCCATCACCCCTCGTTTCAGCAGTGCATGTGATCAGTCAGCGCGATCCCAGATTGCCAGGTTGTGTGTCTTGTCCGTGGCTGGATGGCATCAGTGGCTCAGTGTACTTTCCTCGTCTGTGGGTATAATTGTTGTCATCACATCGCTTTGATCTTGTTACGGTGACCTTCAGCGTAGTAAGGCCCATGCTGTCCAAACAAAGCCAAACACAAGACTCATGACCCTCATCCTCTCAGGGTATGAGCACTTCCGGGCGTGCTAGGGAGTGGAGGTTGGCACCTCCATTAAAATAACTGAGGATAAGCTTGTAATCAAGTTGCCGGTGACCATGCCTCCCACCTGCCGCCTCCCTCTACCGTTGGGTGAAGCCAGAGGACACCCTGAAACCACGCCCGCAGCGACTTTACGAGAGTAGAGATTTGCTTGCTAAGTGTCGTGTTGGGTGTGCGGAAACCGTTCTTCCCCCTTAAAAATCGAGAGAGGCCAGGTTGTTAGTAATTTACGAGGGCATCACACGGCAAAATCCCAGGAAAAGCCCTATCTTTACAAAGTTCTTTTATGGATGTGGTCGCAGTCCTCTCAGACTCCTTGCAAGGAAGGGAGGAGCCCTGGGCTGGGACCCAGCCTGGCGCTGCCTCAGGGACCACGTGCTCCCTTCCCGTGCAGGAGTCCTGTCCTGGCAGAGGCCAGGAGACGCCGCCTGGCCGTTCCTCGCGTCCCCTTCCATCGGGGAGCTGAGCCCTGGTGGGGTTTACCCCGAGCCCCACGGCCAGCCTGGGCTCCTCTGTCTCCCCTTCCGAGGGAGGGGGGAGCAGGGACCCCCACCCCAGGCCCACGGCCTTCCCATCACCCTCTGAGCATCCCCCGAAGAGGCCCAGCAGCCTCCAGCTTGGCAGGATCTGCAGGAGATGGCAGCTCCTCCCCGGCAGCTGAGGTTTTGCTCCCTGCTCTCACAGCAGATCCGAGTCCTTCCTCCCATCCAGTCTGTTTTTTTGAAAACACTCAGCTCCAGGCCAGTGGACCTTGCTTCCTGCTTTCATCTGCTCGGCCTGGACCGAGGACGTCCGGCCAGTGGCCAGGGCGGCCCTTCCCGGGGCAGCACCTAGAGCCGCGCAGAGGTCCGGTGACCTGGTCCCCTCCCTCTCCTCTGGGCTGCTTGCTGAGTTCGGTGACTTTTGTGGACTTGCCTGAAGGACGGTGAGTTCCCCTGGGGCCACGGGGTCGTAGTGGCAAAATAGTGCATCCGCCTGCAGCTCACGCCCACCCTCACCCACCGGGGCGTGCAGGCTGGCGGCTCCGGGGGGCCCTCCAGCGTTTGCAGGAACTCCGGAGTCGCCCTGGAGACGGCCCCTGTCTGGCCTCCTCCAAAGGGTCCTTGGATCCTGGAGAAAGCTTTCCACCACAAATGTTTCCAGTTAGCAAGCAAAGCTGCTCCCTGACCCCTCCTACCACTCAACCTTCCTGCAAGCAGACTCCCCTCAGTCAAAGGGATGCTTGCCTTCCGCTCCACATTTTCTCCTGATCACCGGGAGGCACCCAGGTGTGGCTGAAAATCTGCTCCAGCCCGTGAGTAAATATCTGCCCCCCGAGGGCCGTGCACAGCTGGGCAGGACGGCTAGGCAGGCCGCCCTCTGCACCCAGCGAGGCTCACTGGGTGACTCAGGCGGGAGGCAGGGTCAGGCGGTGGCTCCGGGCAGAGGCTGCAGGGCACTGGTTGGTTCGATTCTTCTGGGAAGGCGGTTTTACCCTCTGCATTCTTTCTGTGGGGCCTTCCCAGGTGGTAAAGAACCCGCCTGCCCATGCAGGAGACACAGGAGATGCAGGTCCGATCCCTGAGTCCAGAAGATACCCTGGTATAGAACATGGCAACCCACTCCAGTGTTCTTGCCTGGAGCATCCCGTGGACAGCGGGGCCTGGTGGGACATGACTGAGCGATAAGCACAGCACAGCGGATGCCTCCCCTCAACACCCACCGGTAGCAGGTACAGTTCAGTGCAGTTCTATTGCTCTGTCGTGTCTGACTCTGTGACCCCATGGACTGCAGCAGGCATAGGTCTTTCATAAAGGTTACTAATTTTGTAATGAATGACAAGCAAGGAGATAAGTCAGATAGGGAGCACTAGAGATCCTTCTCCCCCCAATACCCTAAACAACATTCTGAGGGACACACGATCGTATCAACCAGCAACTCGTTTGGTTTCAGGAGCTAAACATGACCCATGGCCAAGGTCTCATAGGCCCCGTGTCCGCCCCCAAGAAGTGATGGGGGGCCCGGCTCATCAGGAGCCAGGGTGTGTGTCTCCTCTCCTGACCCGGGCCTGGCTGTGACCTTGACCCGGGCCTGGCTGTGACCTGCCGTGTCCGGGAGGACGTGGAGCCAGTGGCAGGCAGCAGGCCTGGTCCTCCATGAGCCCCGTGGCTCCTGCCTGCTCTCCCGGGGGCCTGGCCCTGGCGGCGGAGCAGGCCTGGGCTGGTCTCCTGGCTGACGGGGGAGCCCGCGGAGCAGACACCAGTCAGGCCGGTTGTCCCCACCCCGGACGAGAGCCCAGGCTAGACGAGGAGTCAGCCCGCTGACTCACAGGCTCGGGGCCTGCCCTTCGGAACAGAGGGAGAGGTGTGTGCAGCCCTGGGTGTCCCTGCTGGCTCCATGGGTGGCGTCGCGGGGCAGGAGGGTCTCCTCCTGAACTTCCTACCCCTAATCCCCGCCCCCCAACCCTGCCCCCGACCCTCGGTGACCACTGCGCTTCCCCTTCCTCTGGCCCCCAGCCCGTCCTCCCCCGGTGGTCCCACCTGCCTCTCCATCCACATTACAGAGTCCAGCGGTCAGCCTGGAAAGTCGAGACAGACCTTACCTCCTGACCAGGGGATCCTGCTATCAAAGCCTCCTACAGGGGACACCCATTCTCCCCTTCCTGCCCCCCCCAGGATGCCCACCTGGGTTTTCTCATGCTCCCCCAGTTTGGCTACCTCCCAGCACCCTGTCTTTCCACAGGAAGGGGGGTCTCTGTTTCCATAAGGTCCTGTCACCCATGCAGAACACCCTCCCTCCCACCTCCTGCCTCTGCGACGTCGTGCCTGTTTGTTTGAGTCACTCTCAGGCTACCTGATGGAGAAGGCAATGGCACCCCACTCCAGTACTCTTGCCTGGAGAATCCCATGGGTGGAGAAGCCTGGTAGGCTGCAGTCCATGGGGTCGCTAAGAGTCGGACACGACTGAGCGACTTCACTTTCACTTTTCACTTTCATGCATTGGAGAAGGAAATGGCAACCCACTCCAGTGTTCTTGCCTGGAGAATCCCAGGGACGGGGGAGCCTGGTGGGCTGCCGTCTATGGGGTTGCACAGAGTCGGACATGACTGAAGCGACTTAGCAGCAGCAGCAGAAGCAGGCTACCTGGGGTGGGGGGCTGGGGTGAGAA